AATATTGTTTTATTGGTCTAGGTTGTACATGAACGGGTTGAGAAGGAAAAGTTTGCTTTGAATTATTTTGCTGTTTGAATTGCTGAGCATTTTGGTTAAATGACTGCGAATTCTGATTGAAAGATTGATTATAACTCATAGATTTTCGCTGTTGATTGAAAGGTTTTTGGGTAACCTGATTTTTCAAGTTTATTTGCGATTCAATGAGATTATAATTTGTGACTTGTACAAGAGCAGCATCTAAAGTATTAGGGTTGTGTATAAGTAAAATCGTTTTCAAAGATTCTGGAACATTAGACATTAAAACAACTACTGCAGTTTTTTCAGCTTGTGCTATTAAAATTAACTTTGAATTATTGTCTATGTTTTCACTTTGAATTTTAGAATTTATTCTTTGCACAAATAATTTTAATCTTTGCACAAAATCTAATAGTTCTTCGTGCTTATTTTTATTGATGTAATTTAATTGTTGCATCAATGTTTGGTATCCTATTGGATCTCCATATTTTTCTCTAAGAGCTATTTTGATATCGGCCCAGGTTTTAAGGTCTGGCCTACTCATAATAAAATCTCTAGATTTTTCAACTAATTTAGAGCGTATAACACTAAAAACAAACAAACGCGACTATGAAATTCGTCAATTGACAAAATAAAAGATTCTAAGTGTTCTGGATTTCCAGAAAAGGTAGGTAAAATGGTTGCAAAAGATCGCAGTACGTCCATTTTATCTGAATTAATTAGGCTATTATAAGAAAAGAATTCAAGTTGCTCTTCTTCTTCCTCTGAAGATGAAGTATCAAAATTCAACTTATTATTATCACTAGATTTGCTAGTACTAGAAGATGCAAGATCTAACTCTGAGAATAATTCGCTCAAATTTAAATCGGATTTATTTTTAACAGTTTCTAGTTTTTCAGCAAGTGATGATGATTTTTTATTTCTCTTGGTTTTTAAGCCTAGTCTTTTTATATTTGAACTTAAAGCGTTTTTCGAAAGTTGTTTAGGATCAGACATGTAAAAAATATGGCAATTTTAGTAATTACTTACATAAAAAGGGGCATCAAGATGAACCATAGCATTTTTTATCAAGTTTTATCACAAAAACACACACAACTTTTAGCAGCGAAAGTTCAAATTTACGGTACTTGTCACGCACGGATATCAGTCTACTGATTTCAGAAAAAATACTTGAAATCTTAGGTTCCACGGCGACACTTCGAAGAATGAAGAGTTGCCAGAGTTTCACCCGGTGGAGTTTCTTTCTTCTTTCTGTGCTTTGTCTGATGGCCTCAATGCTTCACAATAGAGGGGCCAAAGGATTCGGCTAGGAGTATTTGAAGTTCTTTTTGGTATAGTGCTCAAGGTATAAAGATACGCCAAATCTCAACGAAAAACGATAAAGAGACTTATAACACTATCCTGTTCGCAGCGCCAGTTAAATACTCAAACCAGTAGAATGCTTTTTAAAAAAGATTTATTTTACTAAGACTTAACTTACTGGTACAGTGTGTGACTTAAGACTAGACTTATTCTATATAAAAAGCTCCCATGAAATAATAAAATACAAAATATGCTTATTCTATCATTATGCTGAGTCGTCCAATATATTCCTGGTATTGGCAGTTTAAGTATCGGTTGATGTCTATAACTCGCGTGAAAATGCTCCCAAACGCTGGATGAGTTCTGAGTTCGCACTTGTCATAGAAGAAGAGTGGCAAAATACCCCTCAGGCATTCATTAATCTCTTGGTTGACAACATGCCACGGCCGACGATGCCAAGAGGTTGTGAATGTGAGGAGAGGGCTTACTAACTATAACTTTGATTATCTGCCATTCTTTAATAATTTTTTTAGTTTACCTTGTTTATTACTTAACTTTAAGGTCACTTTGTTGTTGTTATTGAATCTTAGTTTGATTAGTTTTTTAGTTTACTTATTTTGATACGTTTTACCTAGGTATCTACCTAACTAAACTGAAAGTACTTCTTAACGCATTTAAAGTAGGGGAATTTCAGATGTTACCGGTTGGCAACGGCGCGCGACGTTGTATGATTTGAATAAACATTTTCAAATAAATAACACGTGTCGATTCATTTTGTTATTTCTATAGCTGTCGGTAGTCTTGATAATTTATTATTACATTCTGGTAAATTATAAGGAAAAAAAAAAGGCATTGACAACATTGTCAGTCCTTGTTCTACGACGTTATCTTGAATATAACGTGAAAAACCTATAGGAACACTTTTTGTGTTTTGTTTTAAATCAACTTAAAGAAGCATTAACGTTGTTCATATAATATTTTGTTTGGCAGATAATGTAATTTACCATCCTTAACTTTATTTTTTGATACTGATACGATTAGTGGAAGAATTTTTAATTGAAATACCTTTAAAAATGAAGCTACAAAGAAAATTAGCAGGTAATAAAAGTTCGGGTTTCCTCTCACCACAACCCGAGCCATTAATAAATAATTGCGAAAATGGGCGATTATTAGTACGCTACTGGAACCACATTATTTTAGTACTTTTTTTCATTGAAAATAAACCAGGATATCGTGGGGTATATCAAACAGCAGCATAAGATGCAAGATTTATTGTACAGGATGGTTCAGGTGCTTAAAAGTTGAAAAAAGTGGAGGTTATGAAAAAAAATCGATATTTTTAAAACTAAGGCAGGTATAAAAAAATTGAGAAATTACTTTTTTTGCAGAAGATCATTGAAAAGATATCTGAGAAAGTTACACACATTCAAAATTGGGATGAAAATCATGGACTCTTTTAACACCCTGTATAAAAAAAAATTAAGACATTTAAAAAAAATTCTGAATAGCAATTTTTTTCACAAAAAGTCAATCTGTCAGCCCATGAAAACCGCAGGTCGATATCGATTCTGGTTCCAAAAATATCGATCTTGAAAGTTAGGCGATATTTACCTTGTTCGAAAGCAATTGTCCAGCAGTTTAGTTCCAAAAATGTGGTTGTATTATGTCATGCTTTTTGAGAGTCTCCATACATATTAGTCGACCGGATTGAGATCTGGACTGTTTGGAGGCCAATTGTTGAGTTCAATAAAATCGGGACATGTCCTTACTTCATTACAGGGCCGCCGCTACCATGTGTGCAAAGTGTGCACCGCACACAGGCGGCCAAAAACTGGCCAAAGGAGACCCCACTGATAATATTCTTTTTTTTTCCAAACAACGAAAAAAAAATTAATTAAAATCAAATAATAATGATTCTGTAAATTCTAATATTTATATAACAATATTCATATTCATAAGCTCATTCTGCTTAGTCTATATAGAAAATACTGGAATGCATGCATTTTATAAATATATGGAAAAAGTAACTATGCAACTTTTATAAATTTTGTTAAATATTACCTAGTACCTAGCAGTGGCGACTCATCAGGAGAGGCAGTGCCTCCTTTGCCGTGAAAGGTTTTCCAAATGTTTTTTTTGAGGCTTAAAATTAACGTTTTTGGGCGTGGCACCCGAAAAAAGTTTTTGCCTCAAGGCCTAAACACCCCCGCTCTAAAGTGAAAAAACCTAGGTAGGAAGGGGGCGGCAAATATTGAGTTGCACACGGGCGGCCAACACTTTAGCGGCGGCCCTGCTTCATTTATATACTGTTTTTCAAGATGTCTCAATTTTGTATTTCCGGTTGTTTAGCTATCGAAACAATGTATAAGCTCAAATTTGGGTGAAACAGACGTAAGAAGTACGATCCTGTCTGAAACTCATTGATCAAAACTGGATAGCCTCACGAGAATATTGCAGCCTAATAACCCGACAAAAATAAATTAAAACGATGCAATACATAAAAAGTTATTAGCCATTAAAAAGCGTGGAACTTTAGTCCACTTGTAGAGCTGCCAAATGAAACTGCCGCAGTAGAGAAGAACCATTCGCTCTGCTTTAATTATTCAGGGAAGGTTTGATTTGAAATACGGCTCTCTAACCTTAGTAGGCAATGTACATATTTTTCAATAACTTATTGTTGTATTAATAACATTGTTTTATCAATTACTATTATTATTCTTATATTTTTCAATTTGGTTGCAAAATGGAGCCATTAAAAAAAGGAATGTCACCGGGTAAACGTACAAAAATTGTCATGTTAAATCGTGAAAAATTATATGAACCCTTCACCCATAACCTTAATTCAACAGTCATTATCGTTGTTCTTGGCGCACACAAATTTCCTTAATTTGCAAAAGAGGAATGCCGAAATGACTGAATATTATTCAAACATATAGAAGCCATTGCAACTAACCCAAACATAATAATACCCTAAAATCCAAGATCGGTTTTGGCATTCCTGACACCTGAGTAACTGGTAAGCACCTATAAATTAGGAATCTTGCTTTTTTTCATCATTTAAAACTATATACCCAAAAAAGTAAATATACTTCAATATAATGTATAATCTGATAGTAACCAAATTGGCACAGGGTAATCCCTTCAATCGCACCCACCCCTCATGCCTAACATTAGATATTATTAGCCAGAAGCATATTATGATTATACGGAATTGATGCAAACAAGCCTATCCAATTGCGCTTAAATGACCAAATTATAATAATTATTCGGGATTCGTGAATATTTGTTTATTAACACTGTCATTAAAATGATAGATATTCGCATGAATATATTTCTAATAAAGAATGCTCAAGTTATTATTTTATATTTTAATGTGCCTATGCCTTCCTGTTCCGAAAAAAAGTTCGCTATAGAAGTTTACCCAGAGTGTAAACTTTTCCGTAGGGTATATCAAAATTCTTAAGTAGGTAATATTGACGAGGTACTTATTTCCCTATCTAGAGCATGCAGTTATTCAAAGATATTCTTTTGAAATCTTTGATTCAACGCGTCTCAATAAAAACTTTGAGGTATATGATTCCGACAAGCTTCCTAAGTGAATTCGCTTCCACAAATCCTTCAAAATTACCATTTCAAATTTCATTAAGTTTAAAGGAAAGCTTATTTATTTTGATAGAACACTATTTTTCGAAAAGAGAAATTAGACTTACGTTTTCCAAAGGCTGGACCTCTTGTTGCAAAGTTTCTAATTCCATCAGAAGCTCCTTTTCTTTCGTCAGTTGGTGCTCTTGGACGTGTAACGCTTCGTATAGTTTGTTTACTAAATTTTTTACATCGTTAAGCCTAGAAAAAAATTAGACACACAATTTAAAATATTTAATTTTTAACTGGAAAAAACATCTAGCAAAAATATTCTTGTCACTGACATAAATTGAAAATGTAATGCGACACCTTGGCAATTTATGTCCGAGAAATACACGGAGTTTTATATTACGGTGCAGCAACTGCAAAATTGCTTTTGATATAGAAAATAAGGCAAAAGGGTTCCTGAAATCGATCCATAAACGTTTTAATTAATAGCTATTTGCCAGAAAGCTTCAAATTCAAATTACTTTCAAGTGGAATATCTATTAATAATTATTCCTGAATAGCGTGCAAGCTTCGATTTATTATCTGAGCGTAATTGCATTTCACCTGTTAACGGTAGCTACTAAGGATGTGGAAATAATTGGATTTGGAAATCTGACAAAAGTACTTTGTAGTAAACTCTTCGAGCGTTTTTTGTCAATGATGCAAATGATGCAATACATTTTAATATCATGTTTCTTAGTATTAGTTGGGTTTCATGTTCATAGTTGTTGAATTATTTAGGAATTATTAGACTCAATAACATGCTACAAGGACTGAAACCTTAAAATGCGGAACCTCTTAGATCTACCAACCTTCATGAGTGCCGACTATAGATTGGTTCCTTAAGCTTTTCTTTCCTCAAAAGATATTTGAATATGATTGATATTGTTACGGAAATGCATCGATACCTGGCGCCAGGATTCCAAACGATAAATAGATCGTAGTAATAAGTTAGGACAGTTTTAAATCGATATTTGTCATGTAAGTTTCGATAAGTGACATTCTAAGACAATTCGAAACATCTTGGCAACATATTTCCCCTACAGAACTGAAGAAGGCTCAACAATTATTTTATGAGAACAACGAGATCACATGACCAAACAAAAAGAAGTGGAGTCATTAGTAAAGAGTATGCTTGCAGAGGGTGTTGTTGGAGAGTCTTCAAGTCCAGGGTCATCGCCGATTGTATTAGTGCCAAAGAAATATGGATCTACCAGATTTTGCGTCGATTACAGAAAGCTTAATGATGTCACTAAGAAAGGCAGCTACTCATTACCCAGAATTGACGATACTCTTAAGACGGCAGACTCAAATTGGTTTTCTACCTTGGATTTGAAAAGCGGATACTGGCAAGTGGGTATTGCATGACGAAAAATCAGAACCGAATCTAGGGGGAGCAAACAGGGGCGCGTGCCCCCTTTGCATCTTGAGGGGGCGGCAAAAATAGAGGACACTGTCTTTTTTTTCTATAAAACAGAAATACCTATCTAGCGAATACATTTTTAAAATTTATTATCTTACATTGTGGCAACTTGCTTGCTTGTTTTAATGGCGCTGCTACTGAGGCAATTTGCCAGCACGATTTCGTGGCGACCCTGATGTTGCCTGGCTCTAGGCCATATCATAGGTCCCCTATTTGTTTCACTCTTTTCTTCTATCTTTAATTTTTCTTAATGTGAAAGGCACATCCAGGATTTGCCTAGATCAATCGCTGAAACCGGATATAACCTTTTTCTGTCAAAACAAACAGCGTTTTCACGAGTCTCAGACTCTGGCCGCCATTTTGCCAACGTAACCACGCGTGTGAACCTTCTGTTTATCTAGGAATCTAAGCCGGCTTAGTCAAAAAGACGCAAACAAATCCACGGATGGCGATGAATCTCGGTTTTTACTCGCGGAGGTGAGCCAAAATTTGGTCTCTACACGCCTCTAGTGCACCACCCGGTGAAGCTCTTTGAGCTCCTTAAACCAACCGCCCACACTCTGGCGAGGACAAAACGAGACTCCTTGTGGCAACTTGTAACAGCGCTGGTACAAAAGACCGCAGGTCAAAAGAGCGCGGACAAAAGAGCGCAGGTCCAAAGAGCGCAGGGTAAAAAAAGCGCAGGGTCAAAAAAGCGCACGGACAAAAAAGCGCAGGGTCAAAAGAGCGCACGGACAAAAGAGCGCAGGGTCGAAATAGCTCAATAAGCGCGCATTGATTGTTTGAACGTAATTAAGCATTTGAATAACATGGATGTAAATCAACATATGTATATCTAATTGTTACTATTTATGTAGAAGAAAAAACATCTACATAACAATAATATAAATTTATTAACAAAAAATATATGTATACAACAAAATAAATGATATAAAACAATTCATTTCATTACAAAGCTAAATTATATGTAACTGAACGCAAATGTTGTTCCACATTTTTAAAACTATAAACGTCTAGAAAATTTTTTATTCTTTTTTTTTTTTGTTCTGCATATTTCGAATGACTTTCATTTTGTCTGAATCCAATTCGGTACCGTAATATAAAAATGTCCGTGGTATCCTGCTCTTTTAGCATTTGTTGGCACAGTTTATGTAACGAAGGGTTGTAACAATCTGAAGAATTTTGAAAGGATACGTGCCATGCTTCCAAACTATTATTTGTGGTTGGCAAATCTTGCTGTATTCTGTCAAATACATTCCACGTTTTAAAATCAAATTTGGGTTGGACTTTTTCAATCCTTTTGCCGGCGTACGTCCTTTCCAAATAATAGAGTAGTGGGCGAATTTCAGGGTCAAATATTTCTGAAATGATTTCCAAACCAAATTGGACGTCCTTGACGGGTACAAAAGCTAAAGCTGCTAGCATTTTACATGGCATCCGGAATTCTTCTGAAGATCTGTATGGTACAACAAGCCCAAGTCTTTGAATTTTCCGCCACAAGTTTTGTGTGAGATGGAAAAAACAACCAACAATGTCAACATCTGGGAATATTTGATTGAAACTTGCAAAACACGCAATTTCGAAATCCAACAATACGCTATTTGGTTTTAAATTTGGGTTAATTTCTTTCAATTTACCAATAAGCCTTTTGAGTAGGTTTGCAGCTTGCTTATTTTCTAGCAACGCAAATATAACTGGGACTGCCTTTTTCTCCGCAATGATATGTATTGTGAACAATTGGGTAAATAGAAGCTTCGGTGCAACATTGAAAGTGCCATCCACTGACCAATTTCTAAATTCTACCAAAAGATCCAAATTTTCTCTAGTTTCAAATAAAACGGTCCGAGATTCCGTAGAGTCTTCGTGTGAGTCCCAGAGTAATAATGATGCCCCTTTTGTTGTTTGAAGCTCCGCAACGTCATTTGAAAAATTTGTTTCTGAAGTATTATTTTCATTTCTCTGGCGTTGTACAACTTTTCTGTTTGCCTCATACGTCGGAAACTCAACTTCGGCTTCTGCAGATTTTACCTAAAATAAATATGTACTTAAATAGCGGGGAAGTGTACACTACTGTCCAAGTAGTTATTGAAATCTGGGAAGAGCTTCCACTTAACTTAGCTCTGATGAAGAAGCCTGAATAATAATTCTGGGTTTTAAAGGAGTAGATCTGGCGAGTTCCTTAATCCTATTTTTGACAAAATTGACTTCATTTATTGCAGGAGATGGACCGTGATTATGAGGAGTTCGCTCTTGTTTTTCTTCATTTTTGCAGACAAGTCTGCCTTTGCATAATTTGGCACAGCATCTCCATAATTCAGATAGAGATGTTATACGATCTCTTCTGTATCGGTATCCATTATGAAAATGTCGTTTCCGTTTTGCGATTAAGGGCCTTATTATGGACCAACTGGTAAGTGTCTAGTTGTTACCTAGCAGGTACTTTCTATTCTCTAGTGCATAGAAAGTACCTGCTAGGTAACAATCAGACGTTTACCAGTCAGTCCATAATTTGGCTCTTATTTTTATTTTTTTAAAAGGACCCCGCGACGGAAAATGTGTTTATGTCAAATCGTCTGCTTTTTTGATAGTGTGTCAAGCTCGATGACCTGAATAAAAGTTATCATTGCGCCAAAACCCAATAATGAACAGTTTTTGAAATAAACGCCCTTTTGTACTCTCACAAATATAGGTAAATCTTATAGACAATGACATCAAAAAATTAATTGCCTACAGGTGAAAAATGCACTGAAGCGTTTTCATTTTTTTAGAATCGGAATTAAACTGTATTGACAGCGTTTGACAGGTAAAAATAGATAGGTGAATTCCAAAAAGTTCAAAAGTTTCCCCACACTTAAACTTTTACTTGCAGAACTCAACATCAACCGTACAGTTCCGCAATCGTAAATTGTTTTATAGTTTGATCCATTTTTCTTCCGATGCATAATAGCTATTTATGTACCAAGGGGATTATGTAGATTATAATGCCCGAAGGCGAAACTAGCCCGAGGGCCTATGGCCCGAGGGATATATTTCGCCTGAAGGGCATTATAATCTTGAAATCCCCGTGGTGCATACAATGCTTTATTTTCTACTCAACACAATGTTTTTTCATCAATTTGTTATTAATAAAATCAGTTAAACTTGTGTGACAGAATATTGTTTTGTATTTTGACATGTACCTGTACCTGTGACCTGTACCTGTACCTGCGACCTGTACATAGAAACGAAATACATTAATATATCTATAAACATCTCATAAGGCAAGGCAACGGTGGTGGTCCTGTAGGTTAACGCGCTGGACTACATGGGAAACATTGATGGTAGACCGGGTTCGAATCCTGGCTAGACCGAAAATTATTTTCGGTCAGACATTTAGTGGCTGCCTAGGGTAAAGTGCAAATTAATAGAACAACAACAACAAAAACACCTTAAGGTATTATAAGCGGGCGTTATAGATCATAACGCCCGCAAAAGCGGGCGTTATGGATCAGGTTGTTATAGGTGTGTTAACGTATTTCGTTTCCTAGGTATTATGGATCTATAATAGTAAAGTAGAAAATAAAAGTCTTTTTGATCATGGCAATGAGGAATATATTGCACTGTTTCATATGTCCTGCGGCACTTCCTTCCAGATTAATGGTGCGTCTTGTTGGAGATGAAAATGCCGATAAGTGTGCCATAGCTCAACAAAGGCGTCTAGCAAACATCAGGCCTATTATAGAAATCAATGAACTCACAAGAACTTGTGCCAGCTGAAACAGATCCATTATTAGGGAAATAAATGCTCTTC